AAAATGAGATATCTTTATTGTTATTTCCTTAGCATATGTGGACATGTCTCGATTCTATTTTTGCTAAGGAGTAAACTTTAAGAAATAACTGACGTGCCTTCTACTATATCTGTGAGGCATAATGAAAGGTAAATATTTCTTCTCGTACTTTAGAAGATTGATATTGTTTTTCTATATATCAATGCTAAAACCAACAATTTACATTGTGTTGGATCTCATATCATCCTTTATTCGAATAATTAATAACCTAAATGAGTTATTTCAAATTTTGTATGAGTCAATGACCACTTTGACTCATAACCTGCTTAAATATGCATTTTCTTTTGCATTTATTAGATGCAATCTAATATTTTCTCTCATTTTTATAGCGAGTTTCTATGTAAAAAAACATTGAGGGTACCTTGGTGGACATTGGCGTCCTCACATTGTGAAGGTTCGGGGAAGCCCCACAAAGGTATATAAGGTCATTCTTGTTACTTTGACAAGAGACTGGTCACCAGATTCAAACTCATGACATGACTCCATTCTATGTGAGGACATGGGTACAATTGTTTCAATCATAACTGATTTTAAGGATTACTTCGATAAATATATTCCTTAATTTATTGTACATCACCACAATGTGTTAAATCACCTATTTGTCACAGATTTCAATAATTTACAAATGTCACCCATATACCTTAGAGTGCTATGACCCCAAGTTGACTGTGGTACATATCATTCTACTATTTTGTGGATATATTCCTTTGTATCCATTCTTTTATGAATAAAATTCAAAGATATGCATGTAATGAATTCGAATGCATAAACATCTCAAATATAATTTCAGATGGAACAATGAGATGTTAAATTAATTAAAAATCTCAAACGAATATAATTTATACCAAACTGTAAGACTTGAATAAAAGTCTAATTAGAATTAGTAATGTTCATATTTTTAAAACTCATGAAAGAGTAAAATAAAAAATGGATAAACCCAATAATTAGAGAGTGTTCTTATTCTCAAAATAGTAGACAATCATGAAACTTAATTTATATTCTCATGCGGTGAATCTCTTATTCTTTAGAGATTCTACGAAGATAAAAACTAAAGGTATATTTTCAAGTTATATATATCCTGACGAGATAATCACATTTAATCCTCTTATATTAAGGGATTTACTTTAAAATTTATATTTTCAATTTTTTTTATTTGGAAATTTCTTTATCCAAATAACTTTTGGGAGGTTTCTTTATCCCCAAAAAAATATTGTAATTGCATTTCAAAAAAAAGACACAATAACAATAAACATCATTCACTAGTGCCAGCTAAAAGCTAGTTAGTTACATAATTATTTAATATATACTGGTGCATTAGTATATGTGTAGAGAAGTATGTGTAAAAATGGTTAATTTTTTTCTATCAAATTAAATAAGCTTTTGTGATTTACTTTTTCACAAAGTGTGCCGGAGTAGCATTGAATTCTAAAATAAGCGTTGAAGATACTCAAGTTCATTTGAATGCATAATGACAAACTCCGGTCAAATTGATTGGTCAATTAAATTTGTAAAGCCTTGTGTGGAAATTCTTTATCACACAAATAAATAATATAGAAAACTGAATAATGGTACTCAAATCCGTCCGAGGCCAAAATGCCAAATACAAGTTGAGATGGTCAACCATCTTAAAAAAATACATGATCATGAGTACATTCATGAACTTGTGTAGTTCATATGATATAAAACAGAAACTTGTGTATAAACAAAATCGATTCTTTGTGTGAAAATTCTTTATCACAAAAAAATAATCATGAGAGTATGTCTCTTTGTAGACAATATTTTACAATGCATTGAAGTGAGGAGATATATATTCACCTCCTTAAAAAAATCATAGAGATTTTTATAGGATGTTATATGGTGTTTTTAATATAGAAAGTATTAATATTGGTCTAATGAACAGATTAGGCATAAAATATAGTAATCTTACGTGATTATGGTTCCAACTATATGTAAGTGACATATAGCATTACGGAAAAATAATCACATAATATGTTTAAAATAATTAAAAAAAATTGCATAATATGATTTTAATTCCAACTATATGTATCTAACATATAGCTTTACGGAAAGTATAATCATATAATCATATAAAATACATGAAAATAAGATTAATCGTGTGATCTTTGATTCCAGCTATATGTATATGGCATATAGTTTTACGAAAAAGTATGATCACATAGATGTATAAAAATGAAGAGGGATGCATAATGTGATATTAATTCCAACTATATGATTATAACATATAGCATTACGGAATTATAATAAAAAATTGCATCTATCTCTCAAAAAAATGGATGAGGCATATCATCAAACACTTGGGGTGCAAAAAATGGATCTCAAAAAATTGACAACTTAATCTCTAAAAAAAATCAATGATGTTCATCACAATGGTAAACATGATGCAATAAATCATATACATAAGATCCTGCAATGATTTTTGAGTAAAAAAATACATCAACAGAGATCCGGGAATTGGTGAGTCGCAGGCTAGGGGGGGGGGGGGGGGGGGGGGCGACGGTCGGTGTGTTGGGAGGCGGCCAAGCGTGGCTGGATTGCTAGCGCCCCGGCTGGACTGCTGGAGGCGCGGCTGCGGATTGAGTGTAGGGAGAACGGGAGAAAAAAATAGGTTTAGGGCTACGTGCTGATAACGTGTTGTAGGGAGAATTGAGTGTATAGTTTCATTATCAAAGGCCCTATAAATAGGTAGATATTAGGGTTTACATAGATGGGCCAATGGGCCCATATAATAGATAATTTACATAAAATGATCCTAATACATATTCTATATACACGATAGCACACTACACAGAATTTCCTTCAACAGATTCCTCGTAATATGACTAAATAATGAGATTTCTCATAATATGACAAAAAACAGTTACCCTATAAATAGGATTCCTTTTAAATATGCTTCTTAAAGGGATTTAACTTTGCATCCATATCATTTCCTACTATTTAGGAAGAGTAAAACATTTCCTACTATTTAGGAAAAAACTAAGGACTCATATTTTGGGAAATGATTGATGTTTTAGTCACATGAGAGATAATTTTCTCTACAAGAATTTACCATGTGTATGATTAAAAGAATTGATCTTTCTCATTATATGACTAGGCATAATGCTGAAGGTAAGGTTATTCCTAACCCCAAATCTGAATTTACTACTTATGATTATCGTAAACTCAAGCATAATGCCCAAGCACTAAAATATTTGATTTGTGGACTTGGTCCGACTGAACACAACCGGGTTCTAGGATGCAAATCCACAAAACAAATGTGGGATTTACTCGAGGTTACGCATGAAGGTACCTCATGTGTAAAAAGATCCAAAATTGTCATATTTATGCGAAATTATGAATTATTCGTAATGAAGCCTAAAAAGTCAATTAGGGATATGATTACACGTTTTACTAATATCATAAATGAGCTTTCAGCCCTTGGAAAAGTTATATCTGTTGAAGATCAAGTGAGAAAAGTTACCCTCTGCATGGAAGCCTAAAACTACGGCAATAGAGGAGGCGAAAGACCTATCCACGGTGACACTCGAGGACTTGACCGGCTCACTCATGACATATGAGTTAGGTCTACAAGAAGAGCAAGATGCCGAAAATGTGAGAAAAGAAAGAGGAATAGCTCTCAAGACTCGAGAGGAAGAGGAGAAATCCGAAAGTGAATCAGATGACAAGATGAGCATGTTTGCTAAACAATTTTGGAAGATGTACCGGAAATTCAAAGGCAATCAAAACAAGCAAGGTAAAAAGAGCTTTCAATCTTTTAATAACCAAGGTTGTTTTGTTTGTGGGTCCCTTAAGCACAGGGCAAAAGATTGTCCCCAAAAGAAGAACGAGAGAACCTATGACAAGGATAAGTCCAGTTCCAACCGAAGGTCTAGTGAAGACAAAGGATTCAATAGAGACCTCAAGAAAGCGATGATGACAGCTTGGGGAGAGTCATCCGATGATGAAGAGGAAGAAGGTGATAAGAGTTCCAATCATGCATGTCTATGTCTTATGGCTAATTCCGATGAGGAATCCGACCAAGAGAGCTTTGGGGTAAATTTGGAAAACTTTTTATATAAGTTTGATTCTTTACCTAAAATCAAAGTTCGGAAGATTTTTAAAAGACTAACTATCGAGCTTAATCAAAATCTTTCTGAAAATGAAAATCTAAAATCACAAATCATTGAGCTTGAATCTAAACTCGTGAAAACCACGCGATCAAAGCTAAGGCTTTAGTTGTATGGTAATAAATACTCTAACAGTTTTATAACAACATATTTTTAAAAGTATTCGTTAAATGAAAATTTCAGAAATATCCCTTTTCGTATTACTAACATTTTTCTGTATAATCTTGATAAAAAAATTGTTAAGAATATTTTAATAAAGTAAAGTTATAGTATAAATATCTTTTTAGGTAATAATATTACTATTCTCATTTATGTGTAAGAGTTTTACTTAACACCTATATATGATGAAGAAAGATATACGAAGTAATAGATTAAATATTCACACATTTTCATGATATCATGAACTTTCGTCCTCGAAGCAATTGGATTTTCATATCAAACTATAATATTTTTAAATTTATGAAGTTTCTTAGATACTAAAAAATAATGTATAAAAAAAATCTTTTTATTTATCTATGAATAATAAAAAATTATAAACGAAAATCGATAAAAATCAAACCGAGATTCACATGTCCAACGGTAATTGTCACACGTTTAGCCTGTGGTTGAAATTGCACATTTTGGGAACAAAAAAAAGAGCAATTTTTATCCTTTAAACAAACAATTTTGATGGAAATTTATTAACAAAAAAAGCCTAAAATACTTGGTAACAAATGGGACTATGAAAAGATCAGTGAAACGAGTGGTCGTAGCCTAAATTTACTACCCGCCCCACAACTCCTCGTGAGTATAGACAGACCCACTGCTTCACATTTCACACTTGAAAACACTTAAAAGAAATAATACAGATCTCTCATTCATTAATTTATTACGAGTATTATTTTTATTCTCCGTCGCCCGAAACGAATGTAAGTTCTTCCAACCCTTTCTTTTGCTTACGCATTCTTAATGCGTTTTAGAATTCATTTGGTGGTTTATGTTGATTAAAATTAATTTTGCAGATCACATTGATTCCTTTTTCCTCTAATACTATTGGTGTTGTTCTTATTATTATTATTATTATTATTATTATTATTATTATTATTATTATTATTATTATTATTATTATTATTATTATTATTATTATTATTACTACTACTACTACTGTTGTTGTTGTTATTATTATTGTTTTTAGGGAAAAATAATAAAAATACCCCAAACTTTGAAGGGGTGTGAGATAAACACCTCAAACTTGCATATGTAATTTAAATATCCCAAACTTTATACAAAAAGTTATTTTCTCACCATTGTCATATATTATTTCTTTCAAAAATGTAAATTTATAGGATTAATTGCATAATTTAAAATATTTTAGAATTCATGTAGACATGATTTAAATTATAAACTTTCATTGTGAAATAAATAATGTTACCCCCAATCTACATAATTGCAACATTTTTAATTTGCTATTATAAATTATGCAATTAAACTCATAAATTTACATTTTTAAAAGAAATAATACATGACAATGGTGCGAAAATAACTTTTTATATAAAGTTCGTGGTATTTAAATTATATATGCAAGTTTGGGGTGTTCATCTCACACCCTTGAAAGTTTGAGGTATTTTAATTATTTTTCCCTTATTTTTATTATTGTTGTTATTTTTATTGTTATTGTTCTTGTTCTTGTTCTTGCTCTTGCTCTTGTTCTTTTTCTTGTTCTTGTTCTTGTTCGTGTTGTTGTTGTTGTTGTTGTTAATTTTATTATTATTATTATTATTATTATTATTATTATTATTATTATTAGTAGTAGTAGTAGTAGTAGTATTGTTTTTATTATTATTATTATTATTACTATTATTATTATTGTTGTTGTTGTTATTATTATTTTATGTGGTGTTGGGAGGGGTGTTAATGAACCGAAGGCCGTTTTACCTGTACAAAAACGGGTTCGGGCCAGGCTCGGGCCAGGCTTTTTATAATTTCTTTGCCCATCATGTGTGGGCGGGCCCAGCCCGGCCCGCAAAAACGGGCCTAATCCCATGTGCATGCTGGCCCATAAAAGCGGGCTGGGTAGTCCACCAGACCGCCCGGATCGGGAAAACTTTAATTTTTTCAAATTTATATGATTTTTTAATACTTTAAAAATAATATTACAACATTTAAAAAATTGTTAATACGCTTATAATGTTTATAGGTCTTTCACCACATACAAAAAAAATACTTACACAAAAATAATAATGAGAAACTATATCTAAAATTTTAAATTTAAGCACAAAGTATTATCTTTAAGTACAAAAATAGATATTATTTTGGTTGGGCTAGTTGTTACGAACTTAAAATTTAAATTTAAACATAATAAACTATAAATATGTATAAAGAAAAATTAGTCTAAAACTAGTGCTACTAAAACCATTGGTAATGCGAAATTATATTGGTCGAGTGATTTAAGGTACATTAGGTCATCATATTTGGTATGGCCTTGTACCAACGGTATCTTTGTATTTCTTCATTCAACCAGGGATGGATTTAAGGGGGAGCGGGGTGCGACCGCCCCCTTCGACTTTCAAATTTTTCTACTATATATGTAATATTTTTGTAAAATTTTGATACTTTAATTAGATTCGCTCCCCTTAAATTTTTGTTGAACATTGCCCCCCTTAACTTTTAGTTTTTAAAATTAATATATAGTCTTACACAATGTAATACTTAATTGGAGATTTAAAAAAGGAACATCTAAAATAATTTACATAACTTGAATAAACAATAGAAGAACTCATTATTTGAGATTTAGGATACTTATTATATAAAAATTCTTAGTTTTGTAATGTTTAATTATCTTTATTCGATAACTAGTAAACAATTTTGAAAAATATATATCAAATGATATTAAATACCAGACACTCTAGCTACAAAGTTTTTAGATCATGTGAGGTGAATCCAAATTATAAATATTTATTGACATTGAATTACACTATTCATTTACTTTTTAGGTTCTAAAAAGACTTTATTGCATAGATAATAAACTTTAATTGTTTTAGCATTAATACAAATATAATATGCACTATATATATATATATATATATATATATATATATATATATATATATATATATATGAATTAGCAATATAATATTATTCTAAAAATAATAATATCATACATACTATTGTAATATTAAAAGAACTGCTTGTGACTTATGAACACCCTCCATGGTAGACAAAAATTGTAATTCAAAAATCAACTCTTTATTTCTGTAAGACTTATGTAGTTAAACAATATTGAAGTTATTTTAAAAGTACTGGTGAATGTGTACCTTATAAACTCTTTATATTTAAATAAAATGTTATATATCCTTTTTTTATTTTTGTATTATTTTCCATTGATTTGTCATTTCTTATGCTTTAATGTATCAATACTTTTTTCTAGAGCACTCAAATTATAAAATTAAATTTATTTTGTCATTGTCTAAACTTAGAATGTAATATATAGATTTAAATGTCGTCATGTATGTATTAATGATTTTTTTTTGAATAAAAATAGCCGCAGAGCCTTACACTCGTGAAAAATTTCGCTCCGCTACACTAGGGAAAAAAATTCGCCCCGTTACACTAATGAATTTTTTTATCTCCTACACTAACGAAAAGTTTCGCCCCCCTTGATTCGAAATCCTGGATCCGTCCCTGCATTCGACCCTTTCCCAAAGTAAAGAAATTGGTAGAAATGGAATATGGAGACTAAGAGATTGTTCCATTTGTGTATGAGGGAGTACTATTTAATTTGTTTAATCTTCTTTTTATAATTTTAGCTTAGAAACACCTTATTTCATTAACATTGAGCCATTAGATTGTGTAATTGAAAATAGATAGATGTTAGCTTAGTAGTGTTAATCGACTTGTGGTTTTCAGCGCGCGGTGTATTGTATCTTTAAACTTTTTTTCCCATTTATTTGATTGAACCCCTGAAATTCAACAGATTCACCGAAATCAAGGGCTTGGCTTCTCGTGATGAATGAACAATCTACACCACCGGCTAACCACTCCATCCTTCCGGCAAAGAGAAGGCGAGGCCGACCGCGTAAAGACGGCGGCATTTCTCAAAGAGTATCTTGTCAGCTGGCCCCATCACAACAGCCAACCCTCTCCCCAGAAGTTGTGAAGAAAACTTTGCAACCTCTTGAGGTGAACCATACTAACAATGGGGTTGGGAAAATGGTTACCGGTGTGATCGACGGTTTTTTCGATGCTGGTTATTTCCTAACCATACGGGTCGAAAACGATAACACTTTGTTCCGTGGAGTGGTTTTTCGACCTGGGCGGTTCACTCCAATATCCGCATCAAACGACGTGGCACCGCAAACTAAAATGTATCACCGAAAAGACATCCCTATCCCGCCAAGTCCCAGCATATCTCAAGTTGAAAGCCAAGTACATCAACTGCCACCGCCGACGGTCAAAGCTCCATCCAATCCTTTTTCCTTGCAAATGACCAATGCGCCCTTCGGTCAAAGCATCACCACGGTACACCAGAGTCATGATCAAAGGTTTGAGATCCAAATCAAATCTGACCATAGACCGGAGAATCTTAGGACGGTGGAGCATGATGATGTCATGCAGGTGTTTGAAATCTCACAAGTACCCAATGAAGAAGCTGGAGATGATGAACTCATATTGTCAGGCAGCTCGGATCATAATCGAAATCCAACGGGTGAGCCGAGGAGCCAGTTGTATCTGAAAAACGGGCTGGTATCTCCCAATGGTGATCCCAGATCATTTCAAGCTCCTCATGGAGGAGAATATGAAGAACATCTTATCAACCAAAGAGACCATAACATTGAACAAAAAGGTCAGCAAGTGGGACACACGGAATTGCCCGGAAATGGAGGAGGAAGAATGGATGCTACGGATGACTTTCTTGTTCCTCCACGACCAGACAACAACATTCAGTCTCCCAAGGAAACTCATCATTGATATTTGATAAAATAAAAAAAGTCTTCCTTTACTCTCACAAGTTAAATTGCTCGTTATGCATGTGATATAGTTATTCTGCTTTTTTAATATGGGGGTGTAGCTGAGTTCAGCTATGAACATATAAGAAATATATAATTCACATTTCCATTTCCTTTTATTGATCATAAATTACTTCAGAAGTGAAATGCAGTTATACTCCTTCATGCTTTAGCTCTTCTGCTTTTCGTACCTCCCTCAAATAAACCTATCAAAGAGGGAACACACTAGCGTGCTCACTAAGGAGCACACTACGTGATGAATAAATAAAATTCATTCATCTAAAATATGTAGAGAATCCCAACTATTCGTCATGCTAGCGTACTCCCTATATTTTTTAATCAAAGAGGTGAATCTGAATCAATTTCCACCAATTGCAACGGATTAGTTTGATTGTATATAAAATTACAAATTGATTAGTTTCACTTGGTGTGGATTAAGGCTTTCGTTCAATCAAACCGACCACAATGGGGACAAGAGAAATAATGCCTATACTATAAAGGGTTTTGACCTTAATATTACTAATAAGGGGATAATTGACCAAAAAGTGACCTTTTATTTAACTTTCCAAAAAAGTGACTCAAATACTAACAGGACCGCTACAGTAACGGCGCTACAATGACTATGTTACAGCAACGATGCTACAGTGATATTTTACAGTGACACCACAAGAACAATTTTACAGTGACAACATCATAATGACTCCATTCCACAGCGTTTAACGCCCATTCACCGGTCACAGTGACACCGCCACCGGTGACACCATCATAGTGACACCACCGCCGGTAACACCATCATAGTGACACCGCCACCGGTGACACCATCATGGTGACATGACCACCACCGGTGACACCGCCATAGTGACACGTCAACTCCAGGGACAGTCCCATCCTGCCCCTGCTCCTCACAGCCCCGTCCCTAGCCTACCCCGCCCTAGAGCCACCGCCAACCATCACCGCGTACAACCGCCGACGACGACCACCCCATCCCCGGTGGACTCCCCAGCCCCAGTCACCTTCCCAGCCATCTACACTATCCAATGACCGGCCAAATCTGCCCAGTGACATAGGTCACAGGTCTCACCCAAATCTGCCCGCCACCGTCACCACCGCCCCGCCGGCACCACCAACCCGCCATCACCTCCATCGTAGACAGTCCTCCCCCTCCCTAACCCCACGCCTCATCACGTCAACCCCCAACACCCCTCCCCTGCCCACAACCCAGCTCCGGCCAGCCCTGATCTAGCCCCGGCCAGACCCCAACAATCCCGATCTAGCCCCGACAAACCCAGATCTAGCCCTAACCGGACCCCAATCGCCTCGATCTAGCCCCGACCAGCTCTGATCTAGCCTAGAATAGACCCCAACAGCCACGATCTAGTTCTGTCCCCAACTTTTGCTCACCTGCAATGGGGGTGGAGCAGCACGACGATATCGCAGCTTCCTTGAGGGCGGAGACCGGACAAAAGAAAGGAGGAGAAGAAGATCAAACAATTGAAGTCGTCAACGACGGTGGATATCGGACCAGGCGGCAGAGATAGGAGCGGCGGAGGCGAGGTGTCATCTCTAATCGTAGTCAGAGTCGCTGTCGTTGGACATCACCGCCATTCGCCGCAGTTGAAGCGTTGATTTGCGGTTGAACGGCCTTCCTCCTTATGCGTGAGTTCTGGATCAAACAGAAGAGGAAGGCTCTGGGGTTGCGCAGAAGAAATAGGTAGCGACAGATGTAGTTGTGACACTAGAAGGAGTCCGGCATTGGAGATCGATTGCCATCGTTGTGCTCTCCAGATATGTTTGGTGCAAAGGTAGAAGGCGCAGAAGGTCCAAATCGATGTTGCGTGATGTGCGAAGGAGGAGGACTACAAGATGACGGGTCGGGCTGTTTATTTAGGTTACTTTTTTTACCAAGAGAAAACTAGTCATATTTTTGTCTTGTCAAAGTCCCTAAGTGATGTTTTTGCCATTCTATAAATATGTCTTTCAAACTTCAGAGGCTGAAATGAGATGTAGAGATCAGATGAATTCATTTAAGAGATGATTCCCAAACTAGGAGTACAACATGACAAAAAAAACAAAAATAAGAGTAGTAGTTTGAATATTTCAGCCTCTGAAATTTCAAAGACATATTTATAGTATAGGTATTGAACAAAAATACCCCTGCAAGTACCCAACTCACTGATCTCCAGCCGCCGCCACCGCCGGTTGCAGGAGCTCCGACAGTGCAAAAAGAATCTAGATTTTTTTCCAGTCCGCATGCCATCGCCGTCGTTCGCTACCGCTACCTCCACCACCGCCAGACTGCCTCACCACCAACGGACAGACCCGCCACTAATGGACAGACCCGATTGCCCATGGGAACTAGCTAGAGGGCAATTAAGTAATTAATGTTTACTCCTATTAAGGAAATATTAGGACTGGTCTCCTTTTTAAGGAAAAGTGTTGTGTTTTACTCCTATTTAAGTCAAATACTTTTTATTTAAACTTATTACAAGTTTGTTAGATTGTCTTCTCCAACTTGATAATACGTAGCACTCCCTCCGTCTCATTCTAAAGTTCTCACTTTCTCTTTTTGGACGTTTAATACAAAGTTTCTCATTTTTATTTTAGAATACAATTAACATTCTTAAATGACAACTTAATCATCAAATATTAAAAATAATACATTTATAACATCACAATTATCATCAATGACATTATTATATTATATACCCATCAAAACTATTTCTTAATATTTACTCGAATTACCTTATCAAATTATTGTCTTAATAATCTTGCTATTTTGTAATGAGAACCTTTAAGCGGGACGTAGGTAATATCATTATGCTAATATTTAATAGTATGAAAGATTTGCTCTTTGTATAATCGTATTGACCTATTTTAAATAAGAAAGTATAGTTCTTTTTGACATATTTAATCTCTTAATAGATTAATAAAGAGAGAATTTCCTAAATAGGAGTAAAAAAGTTTTGAAATTCCAAAATATGACTATCATATTTTTTATTCCTTGAATAAGAGTAAATTTGTGCCAAGTTTGGCATTACTAGGCTTCAAACATGGCTTTTTTTTCAAACTTGGCAGATTACTCATATTCAAGGAATAAAAAACATGATACTCCTATTTTGGAATTTCAAAACATTTTTGCTCCTATTTAAAGCAATTTCTAATTAATAAATATAATATGAACAAGTTAAATTTTGTTAATTGTGAAAATATGTCACGCAAGTTTTTGTGACTAGCAATTGGACTAGAAAATCTACAACTGAGCACTTCAGTGGGCTTCGAAGTTGAAAGATATTTTTATTAGTTTTTAAGTGACCGTTAGTTTTTAGTGAATAAAAAGATATTACTCCTTATTAAACTTGACAGTTTGATTTCCAGTTTTTTAGGTAGAAAAATCTATGTGTTTGACTTTCCCTTTATACCTTTGGTTGCAAAAGTAAAACAAAAGTTAACACTTGTAGATGGTAAAAGCAGTAAAAAAAAAGAAGTACTTTGACAAGAATGCAAGCTGACAACATACAGGAGGAGAGAGGGTAATTCGTACACCCTCTAACAAAAACCGTTAAAGTTTCGTACATCAAATTAAAAACATGCAGGCTTAATTTTTCAGTTCCCTCCAAAACTAAAATTAGAAACCTTTCCCACCCAAAATAACTTCAAGCCTACATATACCCCTCATTTACTCCCCCAACTGCACATGAATTACTCCCAAAAAATGGAAAGTGGGACAGCTCAGTTTTCTTCTTTTCTCTCTGATCTTCCTGATCTGCCTCCCGAATCTGCCTCTGCTACAAGCACTTTTCCAGATTTGCCTCCCTCAGATCTTAACACCGAAGCTGATGAAGAGGGCCTGGAGCTGGCAGTTCCTGATGTACCTGTAGAAGATTTTTCAACACAACAAAGTGAGACATATAACACACAAAGGCTGGCAAAACACTGGCCAAAGCTTACAAGTGATAAGCGAAGAAGAATAATAGAGATATTGTTAGCATAGTCTGCAGATGGAAAACTTCAGAGGGGCATGATGACAAATGTAGCAAATCAGTTCAACACTTCAAGACAAACTGTACACACACTGTGGGTCAAAGCAAAGGCTCAAATGCAGGCTGGGGCAGCCATAGATGTGCAGAGCAAATGGACAGGTAATGTAGGACCAAAAAGAATTGCATTTGACTTGCAAAAAATGTCTCAAATTCCATATCATAAAAGGAAAAATATGAGGTCTTTGGCATTTTCAATGCAAGTGTCAAAGTCAACTGTGCATAGGTGGTTCAAGAGCAAACAAATTAAAAGACATTCTAATGTCATTAAACCTCTTCTCACAGATAAGGGAATGCTGTAAAGGTTACAGTTCTGCCTAAGCCATATCATTCCTCAATCACTTCCCCGTTCCCCCACTTTTCATGGGTTTTATGATCATGTACACATAGATGAGAAGTAGTTCTACTTATCAAAAGAAACCACAACATTTTATACTGTCCCAAAAGAAGAGGACCCTTACAGAACAGCTCAATCAAAAAAGTTCATACCAAAAGTGATGTTTATTGCTGCAGTAGGCAGGCCTAGAATAGGCAACCTAGGGGATGTATTATGGGATGCTAAAATAGGGATTTTCCCTTTCACGTATGAGGACACAGCTCGGATGCTACACTAAGCTAATGCACACATACAGATTAGGAATATAGAATATCACAGTAACAATTGGCAGCACATGGTTTCAGACTCAATCAAAGAACAAACATTGAGTCATCATGTTTCACAAGCAACATTTTCACAATCAGTACTCCACCTCATCCTTAGTTTTCACATCATACACACCTTAGGCAACCAACATGCAATTACTCATCACACACAAACAATAAAAAACAAAGATAGTAGAGAGACAGAGAGTATTGCCTGTAGAATCAACCCTTTGTAGAAGGAGGACTGTCTGCAAATACGTCCTCTCCCTCATCGGAATCACAACCACATATGCCCCTTTCTTGTCATCATAAAAAAATCTGGAGGTAGCCTCATCCCCTTCTTCCTCCAAGCCATCCAGCCCTTCGAACGTGTCACTCACTAGGTTGTCGTCGTACTTTTTCCTCAACTGCCATCCCAGATCTGTTTCAGTGGAACAACAACTGAACCGAACGATGATTGGGTTTACCCAATGCTACAAAGGCATTGCATGTTCAAGATTAGTGTTTTTTTACATAGTAGGAGTACAATTAAAGGTAATTCGTGGGGAGCTTGCCTTTTGTTCCAGATCCGAAATTCGATCAGACTTCACACTTTCCGAATCTGAAATATGTGGTTCAGATCGGGGAAGGTCTGTAACACCCCTAAATTTCCCGTCCAAAAACAATGATATATTTAAAAGAAATACTTTATTCATTCATCAAAGAGTTAAAGAAATACAGCGGAATTCTAAAATAGGGAAATGGGTGTTACCGCCATATTCGGTCATCTCTTAACCGAATGCACAGGCAACTCAAAGTAAAACAACAAAAACTAATGTAATAATAAGTAAATGTTTATTTCATGACTAGATGTAACTAAGGCATCTTCTAATTCGCACTCAAGCTCGAGCAATCCATCAATCCACATAGGCATCCAACTCATCACCTGATAAAATTTAAGGGAGAAGAGAGAGACAAGAAAAATAACAAAAATTAGCTTTAGATCTAAGTAAGTACTACCCAACCCCGTAAAATAATCAGGTTTGACAAAAATAGATTTTTATATAATATCATATAAAAATGACGCACTCCACCAAAAAAACTTTTCTCCTTGATTTTTCTTAAAGTCACTTCTTTGCTAAAATCTTAAACTTCTCTTTGAAAATCTCTTAGTATCTCTTCTCTTTAAACTTCTTAAGAAAATCACTTCTTCTCTAACTTCCTAGTAATTTAGAAGGGCAGTGCTCAACCTTTCGACTGAGCCCGGTGGACCGTGGTTACGGACGGCCACCCCGAACAAATGCCGGTACTACAACTGCTCTTGCGGAAACGAAATGACTACCTTAAGTGTGCACACCCCCTAAAAGGGATTCCAAGCCCTCCGAGTAGTAAGTCATCCCGAGTGGTCGGAACCCAACCACCCCACCTCAAAAATTCTTGAATGATTAGGGACTACTACTATAACTTCTTCTTAAAAGGGATCATAGATCCAAATCTCACTTGAAACTTAAACTGTACTTCTTAGTAGTAGTAGCTCTAATCACCCTCCACATTTATCCGGATGTGGAAAACCGACACCTCGGATTACTCCCGAGATGCTCACTTCTTATGAAAATGTAAATTTTATCTTCGCTTAATAATACTTCAAAAATACTTCTTAATTTCTCTAAAAAGTCTCAAAGGTATTTAAAATATTTAATATCCCAAAAGTACTTGATTTATACTTCTTAACTACCATATATATAATATCTCCTCAAAATCACATACACAAAATTCACAATTCACACTTAATCACATCATGCATAATAAGCATATAATACGAGGAAACAATTTTGGATTGGCAGAGAAACTTACCTTAAGTCCTGATGCTCCTAGTTATCCTCCTCTAATCCGGTATCTAGATAATCACCTTTTTAATTAAATATGATAAATTAGTCACTTATTCTATTTGTAATTACTTTACCCGATTTTCTCCTTTTATTTTATTATTCGCATTAACTTAGCTTATTCAAATTTATTTGATTAATCACTTTTTATTAATCAAATTACCTTATTAATTCAACCATTAATTACAATATTTGAATTCTAATATTAAATAAAATATTCGAATATGATTAACTACAACATCCAATTTTTATTCAATAATCACCATTAATTTACTCTACTCATAAATTATTATTTAATTACATTATTTATATTAACCCATTAATTTATGAGTTCAAATATTTTAAATATTTATATGAAGTCCGAATATCTAATAATCAATCATAAAAATTATTAATTGAATTAGTCCACTAATTACATAATTAAGTTGTTTATTAAGTCTACATATAGTCAATTATTTATGCTAGCTAACTCAACCTTATTTTATTTTCCTTATTTTATTACAAACATCATTTTTAGTCCGGAATATTATTTTCATTCTCAGTGATTTATTTATTTCACCATTAATATTAATATTTCCTTATTTAATTACTTAACTAGTTTTATATGGCCCAATTAAATTAAATAGACTAAGAATTGACTTTATAAATTAATAACCGTCTATAACTATATTTTGGGTCTATATTTGACCTAGGTTGTCCAGATATCTATTTTATAATTATTTTCCATAATTATTCATTTAATTTCATATATCTATTAACCGGTTCAATTACAATTAAATAGACTAAATCTTAATATTTATTAATTATAAATGGTCCATAAGGTCCTAGTTAGTCATATATTTATCTTAGTTTACTCCAATATTTATTTCATAATTATTTTCGTCAATTAGTTAATTATTTACTAAATGTGTACAAATTGGCCCAATTACAATTAAATCAATTAAAAATAACTAAAAATATTATCTTTCAATTCTGGTTGGTCTGAATATGTATATTTATACCAGGTATTTAATTTATATTTTTCCAGATTTTATTTATTTCATTTACTATTTTATTTTTAATTTTTATTACAACTGGGCCGAACTGGCCCAAATTTAATTTTTCTGGCCCAACTTGAAAAAGGCCCAAAAACAGACCCCAGCAATTGCTGGGTCGTCTTCTTCCCCAGTTCGCCGGAAAACGGCCAAAAAAAAGGGAGAAGGTGCTTACCTCGTCGGACGGCGTAACGGCGGTGCTAGCAGGCTCGTTTGGGGACGGCGAAGGTCCGTGATGGTTCGGCGGCGGCGGTGGCAGTCCCTTCTCCTCCGTTTCCGTCGTGAAGGTTTTTTCCCCGGCGAAACTCCGGCGAGCTGTATCTCCCTACTCCGACGTCCGTTTTCCACGATTCTTTCTCCGTTGGATTCGTCTCACAAAGGGGAAGGTTTCTATAGTGTTTTCAGGGCTTGGTTCTGGCTAAAACGAATGGTCGAAAAAAAATAGAGTATATATATACGTATATATGTATATATATGGGCTGAACTGATCGTTTTCTTGATGTGAATAAAACGCAGGTTAAGGTTGCTATTTATACGGAAAGATGAGGGTTCCAGGCTGTGTTAGAGTTAGAGTTGGAGTTAAATTGGTTTGGCTTTGTACGTAGGAACTCTCGCAGGTCGCCGGTAGGAGAGTTCTTATTTGATTGTGATTCTGAATTGTAACTCATATTGATTCAAGCTACGCACATTTTATATGTTTTAGGCTTGGAGAGAATTTATGTTTATATACTATGTGTTGAGCTTTGTTTTTACTACGTATGTGTAGGAATACCTTAGATATAAGCAGTAGGTATTAAGTTTATCTTTTGGGTATTAAAATATAGCTTTTACTTCTTATACCATATGTATAATTGGTACTTGATATAAAATGTTACTTCTTTTATCGGACCACTTTTATCAGACTAAAAATATCACAAATGTTAATTTTCTGTCTGGTTCACTTGTTTAATAAAATGTTGTTCCTATTACCGAAATATTTTTATCTGACTAAAACGTCATAAATTTTGAAATTTTATCTGATTAGAATGTTACAACTGTTGAATTTTTGTCTGACTCAAATAATTATTAAAATGTTATTTTCGTAATATTTTATCTGACTAAACATTATTTTTACTTTTATTTAAATTTTTGAAGTGTCACATTCTACCCCCCTTAAAGGATGTTTCGCCCCGAAACATGAACTAAAATTTAAATAACCAAATTCTTAAGTATTACATTCTACCCCCCTTTAAGAGAGGTTACGTCCTCGTAACTAAAATTTTACCTTAATCAAATAACTCTGGGTAGCGTTTGCGCATATCTTCCTCAGTCTCCCATGTGGCATTTTCGGCCAAATGGTTAGACCACAACACCTTCACCATCTTAACCGCTTTTCTTCTAGTCTCACGAGTCTTAGTATCCAAAATCTGGATCGGCCTCTCCTCGTAAGTCAACGATTCATCCAACTCGACCACCTAAGAAAGTCGAGGTTAGATGTGATACTTTGATCTAATTATCATAAGGTTACGATTCGTACCTCGGGGCTAAGAATATGGGATTCATCGCGGACATACTTCTTCAATTGGGAGATATGAAAAACATTGTGTGCCTACGTATAACACACTTGATGGAGTATATGGCCCGGGAACACCCGGCCCACAGACTCCTACTACACCAATGAAGGCCCAACAGGCCAGGGAGGCCCAACAGGCCCAAATTACGGCGCCCAGAGTACCAAGCAGCCCACAATACGCACCAGGGGTGCCTTCGGCCCCCTGGCCGAAGGCTCCAAACTATCACAGCATGGATATTTCGAACAAACAGAGGAACTGGGAGAAAACGGCGAAAACAGTAGCCCTCGGCACTGTGAGCCCTCGGCACTCAGGGCCCCTCAGCACTAAGAGCCCTCGGCTAGTCCTCTGCAGCCGAGGGCACCTCTCCCGACATGATATCCGCCTCACATGCGTGCAGATCACCGTACCCTGCACAGACGTCCCATCCAACAGCCGCATTAAATGCGGCCACATGCGGCTGCCAACGCCAACCAGTTGAGGTGACCCCTCGGCCAATAGGCGCTTGACACGTGTCCCTGCCCGGCATTTATTGCTACTATAAATAGCACCCCATTTCCCCATTTGTAACCACGCTGAAAACGCTCCAC